TATATATATATATATATATATATATATATATATATATATATATATATATATATATATATATATATATATATATAAAATATTGTATAAATAGGATAGAAGGGGAAGTGTAAACGTTTTATAATTTATCTTTCTATGCTCCAACGATTGAGAGGTCCTGCAACATAATAGGGAAAGTTCTGAATTTGTTATCCTCAGATTATTCATAAAGGCAACATCAAAATCAAATCCTTTTTGCCTCTTTATTTTGTTTGCCAGTACTTTTCAGTGCTCAAAATCAATATCCTCTCACAACAAATGAATTCAAAGCCCTTTTTAATTAGCTTATTCTGGCAAGAGAGGAGGAAATGAATTTCTTCCCACACACTTGTTTCTTCCTAGTAAAAGATCACTTCACATCATTACTGCAATCAATCCTCAACACAGTTCAGCTGATGTGTCCAAACTAAGAACTCCATAATTGTGGAAAATCCAAAGTTATTTCCTGTTTTTCTACAAACTTCCACAAAGTGTTGACCACATATGCCACAAGAGACATAAAAGCTCTTTTTTTCTCACTTGTTGTGCTAAAAACCTGACGTTTTACAGACAATTGAGGTGGAAAAAATGCAGTTTCTTAAAATAACATGTAAGATGCAATTGAAAATAACTTTTTTTGTTTTGGTTGTTTTTATATACCTTATGAGTCTGAAAATAGTAAAAGTATTTTTTATTTATTGTGTTAAAATGTGGGCTGTGTTTTATTTGCCAGTGATCACGAATGGGTTTGCTGGCTTTATATCAGGGTCAGCATCACTAAAAGTGCTTTAAAGAAACATGTTATACATTTTTTTTTTTTGGCTACCTTTGTTTCATATTTGTTGAGCAACTTATTATAGGTGTGTGCGCTTCAGCCATTTTATATTGTGTTAGACCCCTTCAGACAAACATAATGGCTCTTCCTCAATTCACAAGAATGCGAGTACAGACTCATGTTCCTTGCCAAGTATGTTCTTGACAAAACATGCACAGCACAGGAAAGTATGGACTCTGGGAGAACGGGAACATGTAGAATAAATCTGGGTCAATTGGAACAGAAGGTTACTCGTGATGTCACCACACGCTCGGCTCGTGTGGAGCTGCATTTTACCTCCCGTTAATAGTAGTCTCTAGATAATAATAGATTCTTACTTTTTTCATTGGGTGGGGGGATAATAATGAACACATTTAGATAAACACAAATCAAATCAACAATTTGCAGAATAAAACAAAAAATCAGGCCTAACATTAGCCTTGGCTGCGGTTGGCCTTGGAGGTCCACTGGTTGCCATGGTCCTCTCAACATCCAAACATTTTTTTATCAATTACGCACTAAAACAGTAAATGGGCCATATAGTGAAGCTTAAAAGCATAATGTTCTCACCCTCAAATTGTCTTAAAATATATTTTTATTGAACAACTGCAACTGAAAAGAGAACTTTTAATTAAATACTCTGAGCTCTGTGAGTGTTCCACTGGAAGATGCTTCTGCCGTGGTGCATGCAAGTCTCTTCTGATGCATACTCGGTATAGTCGGAGGGGCAAGAACAACATCCAGGGACTTTTTCAGTTCTCGGTCTTGTGTTCTTGTTGTGTTCTGTCGACCTTTACAACATGTTCTCCCCCTCTCCTTCAGCACCATTTCTTGTCTGCATAACATTTCAAATAACAACCACTACCAACCAAAGAACATGTGTATTACAACCTCAATAGGAGTAGCTCAAAAAAATAATCAGTGTCAGTAAAGTTAACAAGCTGTCACATGAGCTCTGAAGAATCTTTTTTAATTTTTTTTTGCAGGTAGTTCACGGGATGCCAATAAAAGATCAGTGTTTTCAGGTAAGGATTTTTCACCTAAAGCCTTAAAAAGTCACTCTAACATCTTAACATGTTTCATGATTTGAAGTATAAAAAGACAACCAATGTTTAAAGTTCTGCTAATGTAAGCTACTGCCTTAAAACGACAGAGCTCAGCGTCTTTACATGACCTCATTTGTGGAGACACATACCCAAATAACTATCAACGGTTGACTTACCGTAGAAGCCTCCACCTTCATTTATGGGCTAGTGGATTACCGTCACAGGCTAAATAGAGGACACAGAGGCTCTTAAACATGATAGGCTAAGGCTGCCTGTGTGTGCAGCATGGAACAGTGATGCCCGGTTCCATTAAGTCACTTTGGTTCTGAGTTTACATGCTGCAGACTGAGTCGACTCCTAGCATCAACATTTAGGGGAAGGAGAAAGTCTGTCTGGTTTGAGGTCGTCTGTGACTCCCCTTCTTGTGGCTTCAGAGGTGCCCACAGTTCCCAGTGTGAGTGTGCCAGTCTGGAGGGAGATCAGACAACTGGCTGCTGCTGTTTCCCCGCTGCTGCTTGGCTATCAGAGAGGCCAGAGCATTGCTACAGCAACCAAACTCAAAGCTCAGCACTGTCCCAGAGCTATTCCATATTGTAAAACTTTGTGACTGGAACCTCTATGGAACTGCCTCATTTTTCAGCTCAAATTTTTCACTATTCAAATATTAAATAGCTCTTTTATTGTAATTACCTCAGTTATTACAGTTATTACTATTAGTGGCTAGATTTGGTTCATTGCAATTTCCAGGAGACTGATGTTTTTGTCTTTCATTTCTCACAGGCCTATAGTGATGAAGACCAGAAGACCTCATCGAATCAAACAATTATGCAAAACAACGGACATTTTGAATAACTGTTCAAAGATAATTATTTTTATAAAGCGTATGAATGAAAATAATAAAAAAGATTGTATACTTTTTCACCCTGTTTCATAAGGATTGTATTGTTTATCATGTAGCAGGATGATAAACTAAGAAAATATTACTTGAAACAAAGGGATATGCTGTGTATTGTCTGTGCATTGAAGCATGATATTGAGCTTGTGTATGGAGAACAGAAATGAGATGTAATGTTTGTTTTCTGATTGATTCCTTTTTAGGCCTAGTACAGATTTACATTGTCAGGACAGCACACCCATATCATGAAGACATTACTGGACATGGACTGTTAAAAGAATTTGTGCTTTTCAGATAGAAAATACGTTGTAGAAAGGAAAACATGGAATGCTATTGAATTAATTAAATTGTTTTAGTGCACTTACTTGGTTTTTGTCTCTGTTGTTTTTGAAGCCTTACTAGGACCCATTTTCCTATGGCATGAGTTCTCTTCAAAATCTTGGGGAGTCATCAAAAAATATTTATCCAAATATGCTACAAGCGAGAAGCTTATTGTTCACTGAAAGTCACAAACTGATTTTGATTCTGAAGGATCCTGTCCAAATTTAACCAAACTATTTTCTTTCTCATAAACATACAAAGAAGCCCCATTTACACTACACTTTTGAAACTGCAGAGAACGGTTTGAACACGTAAACTGAAATCACCGTTGAATGTAAATGAAACACAACCGAACAGCGCTGAATCTAGTACTAGTTCAACAGAAGGGCTCTGCACGGTTCAGTTGTGTTTCGTTTCTATGATAACAAAGTGCGCATGAGCAGACCACGTCATCTACTTACAGTCAGCTGATTTATTACATAGGTTTTCTGGCATGTCCAGTTTTGCAATTCACATATCTCTTCACCTGTTCACAACATAAACTTCTTCTGAGCTTATTAACAATAAATGGGATCAATACAGCATGGTGCGACCTGGGATGATGCCGAGACAGTGGCTCTTATTGAAATTTGGCCGGAGGACGCTATCCAGGCACATACTGTAAGTTCCTGAATGTTATGAGCCCCGCCATTTTTGTTTGCATAATACCCAACAACACATACAAGGAAAATACATCAGTCCTTGGGTTAAATAAAACTTCAACTTTTTTAATATATTCAAAACAAAACTTTTTTATTGGCAAAATTACCCGCAAATACACTATTCTAAAATAAAGTGGAACTTTTAACCTCATTGATTGGCTGAAGAGATCCGCATTTGAAGAGTCAGAAAGCTATACCTCTCAAAGAAAGGATGAGATTGGTTATAGGAATAAGACTAGTGCTATGGACTAAAGGTCTTAACAACCAGATCGAAAAATGTTAAGAGTCATAGAGGAATAGAAAGATGAAAGAGCAGAAATGTAAACAGATTATTTTTATTGTAATTGTGTGAAATACTATTTGTATATTATATAATATTGCAGCCAGCTTTCCCCATATTGATAGACCAGGACCCAGTTCTTTATTAGGTACAATGGTAGAAGAAGCAATACCTTCCAGCCTCGACAAAGTAGATGATCACTTGAACAGATAATACTGTAGAGTTATACCAAAACTTTGTAGAAAGATTTTAGTTCTGGGTGTTAATCTTGTCAATGTCCAGAAAATCATTGAGAAAAATTATACTTTTCTTAAAAGCACTGCCACATATATATAGGTTTTAGATTTCTGACCGAGTGCCTAATATGACCATGTAATTACATGCACTAAAGGTGAGGTCACTTGTTTGAAAAATATCCTTAGGTCATGAAAAAAATTTCAGAAGCTGGAACTGCTAAGAACAACTTGGTGAGGGAAACTGAAAAGGTAAGTGGTGTTTACTAATCTCCATTCTAAACCCTCACAGGTGCAGATAACAGACAATTGTCCAAGATGCCTAATCGTTATACTTTACTGCATAAACACCTATAAACTAAGCACACAACCTTGGGGGGACAGAGAGCCTCGCAATGGACGGCAAAATTCAGAGGAGTCACAGAGAATGTGGAATGGTTCTTCTCATTAATAAATAGCGACACAGTGGCTCTGTCTGTCAGTTTCTACAAAGCGTGACTTCTGTTAAGGATGTGTAAGGAGACTGACTCATCCCGTAAAACATGCTGTGTAAAGTAAAGTCCTATGTAAATGAGCACATAGTGTTCTTAATAAAAAGCGATGTGTTCAAAAGATATGTGGAGCAACTTTAGAACATGCCATTATTTAGTTACAGTGGTGCCTTGATAACATCTTTATAACACCATAAACTATATTTTCATTCCAAACAGGGAAATTTCTCACACTGCACAATACAGTTTTCAAATTAACATTTCTCTAAAATGTGCTTGAGATGGCTGCCATATGCTGTTGTCCTGCACGTCAACATGTTGCTGCTGCCTTACAATCAATACTTTTATTAAGCTCATATATCTGCCGGAGTCTTTCATTTACATGTCAGTCTCTAGAAAGACAAGTAAATTTGAAATATGAAGACTTCATTTACTGCCACAGATGTTAAACTCTAGCAAGAATCCCTTCCTTTGGGTTTTGTTTCTCCCATATGTCCCCAATTATTTAAAAGAAAATGTGGGGACAACCGCGGCTCATTAAATTATCACAATGACTTTTAATATATCATGCTTAGTTACAGCCAAATTATATTTATTACATTTGTAATGGTGAAAACCGAGAGATTAATATTTATTGATTAGAAGGATCTCTCTGGAGAGATCCCCCTCAGTCTATATTCAGACTAGACACACAGGGCCACACAGGAAGAAGATCAGGCATTGTTACTGAGAGAGCCAGACCACCATCAATAGAGAGCAGACTGACCAATGTCTTGATTTACATCTAGACAGCCTGGGATTTATCTGAACATACTGCACAAATAAACTGATGATGAGAGGGGGACTCACAATCATTTAAAAATTAAAATGCTGGACCATCCTAAGAGATGGTTGAAACAGCGACCTGGAAGAGGTGCTGTCTGCACATCTTTTCTGGTTGCCGTGTAACCACAGACGGCTCCGCCCACAACATGCACACCCTTAATTGCTCCACCAGGTAAGGTAAATTAGCCAATTACCAGCTATCACTCACAGGAATAAACTGCCAACCAGTCGTTAAGTTGGTGCAGATGGCAGCTAAACAGGAGCTGAAACTATGAGGGAAAACAATTATTTTAAAGAACTCACTGCTTGGTGAAAAATCTCTGTTGAATTTACAAATGCGCTTTGTGGAACCTTTTGTTTGGGTGGAAACACGTTTTTTCCAGTTAAATATTTAATTGGTTAATGCTGTGCGCTGCATAAAGGTTTTTTCTTTGTTTTTGCGTTACTGCATTTGACATAAAAAAAAATTAACCGAGATAAGTATATTAAATTGATGCATACATTCAAATTCATGCATATTTTGAATAAATTGAGATGAACTGGAAGGGCAGGGAAGGCATCTGGGGTTGTTTTTATTTACAAAACTTAGAGCCGATCACCTGTCCATTCGCCGGTGACAGGAGGGCGTTTCCCTGTTATGCACCATGCAGTGCAGCTACTGCATTTACTTTTGGTCAACTGTGGCTTTTGGCTCAGATGGATGGTCTCATTCTGGTCTCTCTAGGTTTCATTTTCTCACATGCTCCAGACATCAGATGCAGACGGGACCAAGTCAGATGGATCTAACCTGCGTGTACCATGTCAGTGCATACTTGAGTTCTCTCCAGGTACTCCAGATTCCTCCAACAGTCCAAAAACATGTCTATTTGGTTAATTGGGATCTCTAAATTGCTGTTATTTGGCACTCAGACTGGATGCGGTGTCAGTGGTGAGTGCAGTTGATTCACGAAACACACAAAAATCCTATGCAAATTGGGCCGGGAAAGGGCCGGCAGTGAATCCCTCACGATGAGAATGTTCACTAATCTGGTTTCATCTCGTGCTACTAGATAGAGCTGAGGTGTTTTCAAACAGCAGCACCGCATGGAGCGAGCAGATCAGTGATCGCTAAAGTTGAACTTATAAATTCGCGACATGCCATCAAATCAGGGACTTGTTCTAGGTGAAGCTTTTTTCACTTTAAACGGAATACAGAGAAAATAATGTTAAAAAGAAGTAGAAACAAGGAATGTTCTGAAGAGGTCTTTAGGTGGCTTGAGAAAGCCGTTTTAATTTAGTCCTAGAAGGATTGTTAATCGTCCTCACTTACCTCCAGCTCAGAGTCTGATCTGATCAGCATGTGGTTCGAGAGCCCATCTATATTTGTTCTTAAATGTTAGAAACCAAAATCATAAACATTGCTTTTGATCTGGATCCTAGAATGACCCGACAAGGGGGGAACTTTTAAAACAAGATGCACCAGAACAGAATAGTCCACAATATTTTATTAAATAATTTCATTAAAACATTTCTTTTAAAAACATTGTTTCAGGCCTACTACTCGGTCCCTGGAAAGAAAAGGGATCATAGGAAAATAAGGGCAATTTAAATTATTCCTAAAAAATTAAGGAACAAATAAAACATGCAATGCAAAAGGAAACAAATTAGTCAATCAAAATAAAAGCAAACACTTTAATTTCAATAATTAGAAGACTAACGGTAAAAAAAAAAAAAAAAAAAACAGCACTTGAAACAGTGCGACAAATTGTCATTGTCCAATTTCATCTGCCTTTCAATGGGGCCAGAGGAGTCATGCCCTGCTTGCTCAGCCTGTCCAAGCAGCAACAGGGTTATTTGGCAAGATTCCAGATGAGCGAATCAAGCACACCAGATCACAAACGAAGACACCTTGCAGAGGCCTGCTCAGCTTTAAACCCACCTGCCCCGCCCACCAATCAAAGGCTTGCTTCTTGCTACACCTGGTGCACAGAGTGGGGAGGGTGGAACACCATCCCACCACACTATCGATAGTTAATTCCGAATGGCAATCTCCCAAAGTTACTAACCGGTGCTTTATGAATAGAGCAGTTGCCCACAATCCTTTGCGGGACAGGATGTACAGGGATAGCCCACATCATGGAATCTGACAAAAAAAAAAAAAATTTCTCACACGAACTCTCTCATACACATGCTGCTGCACACATACTGTATGTTTTAGGCTTTATGATGAAGAGCTTCAACTGTTAACTACATTTGTGTAACTTGTTTTTCATAGTACTTTTAAGGAAGGCTGTAGTATCAATGTGACATGCAGGCCGAAGGCTGTTCAGATTCAGCACAGCAGTCCAGAGTTCCTCTCCGACCCTGAATAGATAATGTTTACAAAGTGAAACAGAAGGATCAAAAGGTAGAATTTGCACACCTCAATCAGCTATTAATCTCCCCTCTCTTGTTACCCCCATACCTTCTCTCCTCCACTCTACCTCCCTCCCAGGTG